AATACTGATATTGACGCCTCTAAATTTTTCCCTGTTTTCAATTTTCCAAATCTCACTGTTGATTGCCTTGTATACACAGATAACAAAGCTATTACTGTTTTTAAAGTTCCATACAGGGGAGAGGTGGCAGTAGGCATGGCTGCTGGCCTCAGAGATGCAGTGAGCAGAGGAAATCCACTTGCCGCTGGGTCCATGATGCAGAGACCACTGGGATTACTGGGTAACTAATTGACAAAGGCTGGCTCTTTCTGAATCTGCCATTTGTGATCATCACGATAATTTCATGCACTGTTTCATTTAATCTTCACAGCTCAGAAAGAATAATATTACCCCCTTTGTTAGCATGAGAATCAGCAAGATCTTAAGTCACTCAACAATATATAACTGACAGAAAAAAATTAACCTTGATTCCTGATTCCAAGACAGGTTTCTTCTTCAACCCAGCTTGAGCAAGTGGTTGTGTAAATCATAGTCTATTTGGCTATTGAAAGGAGTTCTCAGTGGGTTGCTCTTGTGTCTCTAGCCTGGTCCAGCAGACAGCAGGAAGTGATTTTCCCCCCGACTATAGTGTCTAAGGTTGAACGACGTTCGCAGCAGAGAGTAGGATTGCATGCTGTCCCGACAAAGGCTATTCCTGAGATTATTCATGTGTCATCACATGATTTCTTTCTAGACATCTGCTCTTAAAGGAATTAGAAAAACATCAACAGAGTAGTACCCCTGCACTTTAATAAACCAAAGCTGTAGGTGTTTGATCATAATCTCTATTTTCCAGTAGATGAGATCCTGTAACTCAATCAATATTTTCTGATACAAAAGAGATGGTAAGAAAGCTGTATGCCAGAAGACTCAAGTATGCTTGAGTACGATTCTGAGAAGGAGTATCTTATCCCATGTGATAGTAGCTGGTACTTGGTAGCCATCCATCACCATTTGAAGACATCTGTATTGAGACCAGAATAGCTAATAATAGGATGTACGCTTTAAAATATGATCACAGCAACCATGTACAACAGAAAGATGTTCCAGAAAATATCTACCTTCCTACCTAAAAACAATGCACAAGAATTGGTTGGCACCTAGTAAAAAAAGAAAATGAGACTCTTACTATAAAAACAAGTGAAGTGTACAGGTCCCTAAGTTTGAGAAGACCTACAATAATTACTCAACATTATTACCAAAATGGCTAATAACATATTTGAGTTTGAAAGAGGCTAAATTTGTTTATCTGTATGTTAGTAAATTCATTTTTTCACCTGGCTCTCCACTGATGCACGTAATCCCAGGCCACTGAGTTCATGTAAACTTCTGATTCAGAAGGTCTAGGGGAACAACGCCCAAGAACCAGTGTTGTAAGACGCTTCTAGCTGTGCCTTGTGAGGCTCTGTCCAGCGGCCACACTTCTCACCACTGTGCCCACTCGCCCACAAGTCAGAATTTCCTACAAGGTCATTTCTTCTGCCACTGGCAAATCCCTTGCGCATAACAAATAGAAACATTCATTCAGCAATTATTTTTTTTTTGGGGGGGGGGTTCTGGTCGTGGGGCCTGAACTCTGGGCCTGGGCGCTGTCCCTCAGCTCTTCAGCTCAAGGCTAGCGCTCTACCACTTGAGTCACAGCGCCACTTCCGGCTTTTTTTCCTGCTTATGTGGTGCTGAGGAATCGAACCCAGGGCCTCAGGCATGCAAGGCATGCACTCTACCACTGAGCCACCTTCCCAGCCCTCATTCAGCAATTATTAACAGCATTATATATAACACACGTTGCAAGCAGTGAAGGATTGTGATACCACATGCATTAGAGACACAGACTAAACTAACTGCTTCCAAAGAGTATAAATTCCATACAGATAAACAAATAATTATGATGCCATTCAATGAGAATCTTGTATAGAGTTCCATGAGAACTCAGGGGAAAGCATATCCATTCCACAATGAAGGAAATTAGAAGGCCTTTCAAAAGAAAGCACTCAGTGTCCACCGAGATCTCCTGACTCACAGAAGATTGCTTACTCTCTTGACTTTCTCAACTGTAATAGCATATCCAGCTATCTATCTAGTATACATATACATATATAATATGATAAATATATATGAAAGATGACTTAGTCCAGTATATAAATATAATTCTCCAAAAATAATTACATATTATTTTACTCATTGCTTTTATTTATATATTATTTCTCTACATGGGATAAGCTATCAAATTCCTATGTATTCTTCAAAATTCATCCTAACCTTTGTTATGCAAGATCTCAATTTCTTTCCCTTTGTTTCTAACCTTTCTGTGTGTGTGTGTGTGTGTGTGTGTGTGTGTGTGTGTGTGTGTGTGTGTGTTACAGGGGTTTGAACTCAGGGCCTTGCACTCACTAGGCAAGTAATTTCACCAAGACTTGGGAAAATTCAACACCCATATTCATCAACAAAATAAAACAGTGTAAAACGAATTCTAATGTTGTTGGTAGAAGAACCGGTGAGAAGACAATGATCACCACACATAGTATATTTTGTATTTGATATTACCAATAGGTAAAAGACCCTGTGTGCAATTCACAGAATGAAGAGTTGAGAAAATTACTACGCTAAGAGCAATAGCCTTTCTGGTGCCTTAATGCTGTTTCCTGAATGGGTGGTAATGACATTATTTTAACTATTTGGTCTTGTGAAAAGAAGATTTCAGTCTTCCATAAAAATTTAACTCCTTTTCTGCAACACCAGAGTCTTCCAGTGGATATGATTATTTTTGTCAGACTTAATCATCTCTTACTTGATCAATTAATGAGGGGTTTCAATAATCTTACAACAGTTCAATGAAATACCTAGATGTTATTTCCAGCAGGAAATAAAGTCCTCGATCAAACACTCAATCTATTAATAGCTAACAAGAGGGGTAAGGTGGGAGCTGATTCAGATAAAAGAGCTCTAATGGTGAGGGTGAATGGGCTACAATCCCCTCTGGGCTCCTGCCCACCATCCCAGGCCTCTGCTGTGCTGAGTGGGAGGAGAAATGAAGTGAGAGGCAAGGAAATCAGAGGAGGAATTTCTTTACATCTGAACCACCTGTTGTAGGCAGTGACTGAAAGATCTAGAAGACGAAGAGAACTAATGGCTGTAGGCCAGGAAAAGTAAAGAGAGGAAGGAGAATAAGAAGACAAGTACCAACCAAAGATACCAATCAAAGAGCTCCCTCTTCCTAGCTTCTGAACATCGAGCCAATATCAGATAGTGTAGGGGATCCTGAAGGAAGGTTTCTGCATAAAAGATGCTATCTATGCCAGAAAAAAGAAAAAAGTCTTTCCCACTCCTACTCTCTGTATCTTTTTATAAGGTTAGGAACACAGGAAGATTCCCTATGATTCTTGTGACTGGCTCCTAAAAGTGCTTCTGAAGATCTTAAAAGAAGATTGGGTCAAAGTAAACTGACAGGTAACCAACAATCCTGTGGATGTTCAGAAAAGACACAGAAAAGTGTGACCATCCACTCAACCTGTCCCTCAGTGGGTTCATGGTCAGTCATCAACAGAAACAAAATGTACTCTACAGCTTAACCCAGATAAGATAGAACACACACACACACACACACACACACACACACACACACACACACACACACACACACACACACACACACACACACACACGGAATAAAGTAATAAGACAATCCTAAACCAAGGACAAAACCATTTACTAAACTTAAATCTCCTTTCTGGAAACAAGGGCAGAGCTCTCTTGCCAAGTACTGCCGAGTCTCCAGCATTCACAGGGAAAAGATATTTTCATCATTAGAGTTGTAACACACATAACATAAATTCTACAATTCATGGGCTTTCTATTGAGGTAGAAAGTAGCAAATCTTAGCAAACTAATACCAACACACTGCAAAACCAAGATGAGAAGTATTAGCCACATTTTAAAAGAACCACTGCCCTTGTATCAGTGACTTAGAGAAATTTATAAAATGTCATGAGTTCAAAATGAGCAAAAAGCTTTTGAAATTTCTGTTTTCTAAATTGAAACTTCTATCTCAAATACTGCACATGAATTTTACCTAAGTTTTCTCTAACCTTTAAAAGACCATTTATTGTAGTCAAGTTATTCTCTAAGCCAAGCCATCAACATACGCCGATAAGCATATGTGTAATAAGAGCATCTTCCCTACCTTATGTTACACAATGCATACAAAACTCTAAGCGTCTGGCCATGAAATTCTCAAACATTTCAAAATTTCAAATCACATTAAGCACACAAGGGGCACACATAGGGGCAGTCCAGTATATTTCTTTTGCAGAAGAAATGCTGTTACCCTAGTCATAGTAATAACTCACAAATAAAGCTTACTTTAGAATAGTTACTTTGTGTTTGTTTGAAGAATCAGACAGAAAACTGTAAAAAAAAAACACAGAGAAAGAAAAAGAAAGCAAGAAAACAAGAAAGAAAGGAAGGAAGGAAGGAAGGAAGGAAGGAGAAAGAAAGAAAGACAGACATACAGACAGACCTGAATCGTTTCCCTTGTGGTTAAAAATAAAAGTATCTTTGTCATAGAAATATGGCACTCACAAAGATGATCACAGATAACCAAAGACAACAAAACTTCTAACTCCACCTACATGAGCAAACACACAGTTGCTTTTGTGCTTCTGTGTAGAGTCCGCTAGGATGACTTCAAGAGCAGAACTGCAGAATTTAGGTCACTGGGCCAATTATCCAGCTTGCACAAAGACAGGGACAAGTCACTACTTCTGTGCCTTTTCCTCTACTCTCCGGGTTAAGAGACCAGGGAAACAACCTTAAAGGGTGCCAAAACAAACAAACAAACAAACAAACAAGTAAGTGTAAATGAACATTTCCAAAGTATTGCTTCTAGAATCGAGTATTAGACCATGTCAGCACCACCTTGCCCTCTCCACGCCTCGCTGGCTGCATTTTCTTCCTGACAGGTGACTTGACTAAAAGGCCTGGCATGTTACCCAGGCACAGACCTACACCCTCCAAGGAGGGACTAACCTGGAGGTGGCTGGTGCTCCAGCTGAGCTGTAGTCTTCCCTAGCCCCGAGATCTTTTCCGAGGGTCCCCCGGGCAGCGGTCCAGGTTGTCCCACGCTGGAGGACGCTGGCCAGGCTCCCTGACCAGTCTCCGTGACCTTTGCAGAGGATGCTTGCTCCAAGGTGGCAGCAGAGGGCAACCCAGCGAAGACTGCGCTCTTTCTATGGGGAGAGTCATTAAACGCAGGGCCCTGCTCGCTGGGCAGCGGGGGAAGCTGGAGGATCCGGTGATGAGGCTGAGGGCGGGGGTGTCTTGGAGGGGGCAGCAAGGGAACAGGTGGCAGCCGTTTGTGTATGCTGGACTGAGGGGATGAATTATTAAATCCCATGCCAGAGCCCGCTGCTGGCGCTGTGGGTGGTGAGGAGTCAGCACCCACGGGGTGGGGCAGGTCCAGAGACAAGGGTCTGAGGCCGCTCTGAGGCAGACCAGGCCTCCTCTGGCTTCGGGCGTCCAGGAAGCCGTGGGTGGCCCTGGTGTCAGAGGCCAAGCCCAGCCTTCTCCCCTCTGTGGCTTCAGCTAACCTCTCCCTCTCTATCACCTTCAGGAGAACCTTGTTCACAGCCCCTTCAGCACTGGCTGGACACGCAGAAGCGGAGGCTGTTTCTTCCACCGAGGACTGTGATGACCTGTCCACTTGCTTCTCCTGGCCCTGCCAGCTGGAACCGTCAGCCCTAGCCTCGGCTTCTGGGAGGGTGAGCAAAGCTTCTTGGGGTATAAACTGATGTTGGGCCTCTGGGCAAATGTCAGTCCATCCTTCACCTTCAGGATGGGTCCTAACTACATGGTGCCCATGTGTAGCAGGCTCCTGGATCCTGGCCACCACTTTCAAAACAGGTTTCTTCCTGCAAGTCCGCTCTACTGACTTGGACTTGGACTTGCACTTCCCTGCCCTGTACCTCTCGGCCTCGGGAGGCTTCTTGCCTTCCTCCTGGCGGTCAGGCAAATTTGTTTGTTGAGGCTCCAGCTCGCCAGTGCTCCTTGGCTGCTTTTGAACACAGTCGTTTCTTGCCTCTGTGGGTCTGCTGTCTGCAGGAAGCACTTCTCTTCCAAGCCCGGAGCCTTCTGAGGCCCTCCTGAAGCTGCCAGAGCCAAGGTCTGCACCCAGTATCCTGGGGATATCTGCAGGACAGCTCTCTCTCCTCTGTAGGGCGTGGGTAAATGCTCCATTTGGGACCAAGTTTCCTCTTTCCTTTAGGAGCCGTAGATTCGGTTTTGTTGGAGACAGAGGAAAGGAATTGCTGGAGCAGATCTGGTCCTTTCCCATCTGAAGAGCTGTTTTCTGGCGGCCACTCCCTTTCCTCCTCTTTCTCTTCTGCAGGAAGGCTTCTGAGCTCTCTCTCCTTCCGCCGTGGCTGCTCCTCTTACTGAGAGAGCTCACAGGCAGCTCCCCGAGCCAGTCACCAGCACTCTGCACACAGCCGTCCTCAGGGACCAGGCTCACAGGCAGCTCGGACAGCTTCCCCCCCTGGCTCCCCGAAGAAATGCCCAGGATGTGGTCTGAGCTCAGCAGATTGGCCAGCAGCCTCTCCTTCTCTGCTGTGAGTTTATACAGCTCAGTGAGAATGTCTTTTGTGGGAGTCTGCTTGAAAAATATGTCACCTATCTGTTCGTTGGGATGCTGGGTAAGGCTGGAGATGTCTGATCCCTCCCGAACTTGGTAGCAGTTCTGGAAGCCTTTATTGGATCTGTCTAGAGTTACAGTGCCCTTGTATGAAAATCCTCTGGCTTCCCCCCTTGGAAGATAGAAGCTGATGTAGCAGAGTTCAGTAATAGGCGTATGTAATTGGAGGGTGCAGTGAGTGCCTTCCATTATGCCTACCTAATTATTCATGCCCTGGAGATGCCATCTGTGGTCAGGCTGCCCAGGATCCAGTGGGGAGGCATGTGATGGTGGCTATGCAGAGAAGGCAGCTGACAGTCCTCTCCAGCAATGAAGCTGCCTGTAAGAGAACAGAAGAGAGCAGCTTGTCTAACAGAATGCACAAGTCACATGGCCACATAAATCAAAGCACAACCACAACTTGCCCTTCCTCTCTGGCTGACCTCAACCAACTCAAGGCATCCGCCAGCAGCCTGCCTGCAGCCTCTTCCTCACTCTCTCCCTATTCTGACAAGTCCAGCTTTTCTACAACTGAGAGACCACAAAAAATGCTGTCGGGTCAAAGTCTCACAGGGGAATTCACTGTGAAGCCTCGATTAGGCTTCTCAACTTCCTCAAGCCACAGTTGCTCTTCCTCTATGAAAAAAAAAAGTCTGGGAAGAGTGGGGTTGAGACCCTTAGAAATATAGCAGGATTAAGGACTCATCTTCAGATTTTACTTACAAAGCCAAGTCAGTCTTTTTTCTTCCCATAGAACAGTTTTACCTTAAAGCACAGTGTGAAGGAAAAGTTTTAGAGCCATTATTTTATGCTAAACATAAAATTTTAAATTAAGGTCTATTTTTTTCTGGGGCTTGAACACTGGACCTGGGCTCTGTCTCAGCTTCTTTTGCTCAAGGCTAGCGCTCTACCACTTGAGCCATAACACCACTTCCAGCTTCTTTTGAGCAATTTTTGGAGATAAGCATCTCACAGATTTTCCTGCCTGGGTTGGCTTCAAACTTCGATTCTCAGATCTCAGCCTCCTGAATAGCAAGGATTACAGGCATAAGCCACTGGCACACTACTTAAAAGTCTAAAACGTAACTAATGAGGGTCAAGTTTTTGTTTTGTTTTTCACTATATTCTCTTTTTTCCATTTACCTGCTATCCAAGGACAAATGGATTGGCCCTGTACAGATTTTTAGTGTCTTCATCACAGTTGGGGTTAGGTAAATAGTAAGAATGGTAGTTTACGCCATGATTTCAAACCGGAATATGACTATCGGTTCTCAAGTCTACTCCTTAGGAAAAGCGATTCTTAATAGATTGAGCACATATACACATGCACTTTGCTTCTGTCATCTCATTCAATCAGCATCTCACTATCTTACAGATGCAGGAATTCATATGCAGGAAGCTCAAGGACCTTGCCTAAGAAGGGATGGCTCACAAGATGCAAGTTTCCAGGCCAGGTGTGCTTCACTCATTGCTTCATAGGTGATGTGGCTCTTTATCGACCACCTTCTACTCAAGAGTTGATTTTCCCAGTAACGTGAACAGAAAAGTTCTTTTATTTTGCTAATTTGACATTATATAATCTCTCTAACAATGTCCCTCAGGTTTCTACTCTTAACATTCATTTATGTTTATAGTTTCATCATATCTGATTGGATAAAGTACTCTATTGCTATCCCTTAACCAATAAATGTTAGGAAAGGGAAGCCAGGAATTCATGGGGTTTAGAAGTGAAATCTGCCTATATCTGTTCAATGGCACCCTATGGGAGATGCTAGTTCAGAACTTAATGGAATGAGATTCGGATAAAAACTGTGGCTCTTTATGAAGATAACAGACATGTGCTGCCTTCTTATAGAGCTAAGTACTTTTTCTCCTTGTCTTGGTGAGTCTTGGTTATAAAAATGTAGAGAATGGTGTGGTTGCTACTCTACGTGTTAGTCACAGTTGGAATGCAAATCAAGCATGGGGAAATCCTGATATTTGATTTTGCAGCAATAAATTGTAATGCAAGTTATGAAACTCCTATTATAGAAAAAACTTACTTCACACTATTATGCCACCCACGCAGAGCGCACACTGCCCTTATCACAGCTGCGGTGCCCATGTGTGGAGCCTAGGGGAGACTTCATACAGTCACATCTCTAAACCCAAGCTCCTAAATCTTTTAATCAGCCTGTGGTTAGTTCAGACCATAAACCACATCTTGATGTCAGTGTTATATTAATTGTAATAGTGCATCAAGGGTATAAACGATCCCTTTTCCTTCCTTCCTTGACTAATATAAGAACCCCATTTCTAGCTACATCTTTAATTCTTAGACTTAGTTCCTTCTATCCTTTCTTCTTAAAGACCCATTGCTTAGATTCTGTCTCTTTCAATGTTTTAAAGGCTCATTGCCTCTTTTTTCTATAATTGTCTTTGCTATTTTGCTTGCAGAAGATTATTAAAAATAGTAGTAGTAAAAGTCTCAACTGCTGTACCTACAGATAATAAAGATCATTTCAGATAATAACATTTCAACTAAGGATAAAATCATAGAGCATAGGAATAAAAGCAGTGATTTGGAGATGGCAGATCTTAATAGTGACCAAATTGTTTGAGGGAGAATACACAGTAAAATTACGTACTCCTGAATTTAAAAAGAAAAACATCCTATTCTTGGAACTCTGAATTTGAAAACAGGTTCTAAGTTGTTCGCCACTTCTAAGATGAAATCTTCTGCTAGGTTCCAGATCCAAATCCAGGTGCGTACAGCCTTCTTGGTAACATATGCTTATAACTTTCAAGGTTCCAATGGGCACATAATAAGGAAGAGGAAGTACTCTCAGAGCCAAAGACATCTGCATTGTAAGGAGAGGAAGTGCTTTATCTTAATGATTAGAGTCCCTTGAAAAGGACAAGTTTCTCCTCTGAATGCATAGAGCACAGGTAATATAAAGACAATGCAATTAGAGTTTGGTTATGATAAGGCATCTTTAGAGAAAACTTACAGAAAAAGAAAGACTATTTCCTATTTTCTGACTCTATCATGAGTTTTACGACTGGTAATTTGCTATAATTATGGGCATCCAGAGGCCAAGTAATTTAGGTAGATTACTGAAGGAAAAAAAGCACCAATCCTTTTCATATTCTGATTGTCCCCATTGGCAGGCACCTTCGAGCATCAGCAGTGTATATTTACGGAGCTGCCTCTGGAGCATGGAATAAGCATCCGTAGTGCGTCTACATTTCTCTCTCTCCAGCACACACACAAATGCCTGTGTCTAGCAACAGGCCTGCCATCCCTGCCATTTCTTCCAGATAAACAAATGGTCCACAGGCCCCTTTGTCCCTTCAGCTTTTTCCTTCCATGGAATGAGACATTTAAATCTCTAAGTTTACAATTTATTAACCTAAAATATTATTTGATATCTGTAGATATTACAAAAAAGACCACAAATATCCTTCTCTTTGAAGAAGAAAGCCTTGTGCAAATGAATGGCAGCCTCAAACTGTGTAAGGCGCTGTCTCAGAAGAGGCCTAGGGTAGGACACTCCAGTAGCACGCCAGAGCAGTGCTTAGTCATCACACACATTTTCCATCTCAGAAACCAGAGGAAAAAGAATCTGAGGGCCAAGAGGCAAAAGCAAATTAGGAAGGAAAGCGATGTGAGGCGGGGCTGCACTCACAGGACTGAGGCGCAGGGCCCCTTGCTCTGCTTGCCTCTGCCGGAGGCACGTGGTAAGCTGTGCACCTTAGTTCAGTTGAGGAAGTCAGCTTCTCAGGTGGGGCTCCATGTAAAAGTACTTTGTGTTTGGTGAGTCTTCATGTCTTCCATTTCCTCTCCATGAACACACTGCTGAAAGTTCCCCAGACTCTTTCCAGTAAGCAAGTAGATGACTTCACTCTAGCTCAAATGGAAATAGCTGTTGTGCCTCACCGTAATGAGAAGTGATGGCCTTTTAGTAGATGTTATTCAGCGCTCATGACATATTTCACAAATGCCTAAAATTAGCTCCAAGAATTAGCTGCAGTAATTCTGTCTGCTGATTGGAGATTTCCTAACTGATCTGGCTGTAAAAGACCACGCCAATCTTTCTGTACCCAGTCACTGACACAGCCGTGCCCTGTAACTATATGTGAGTCCACTACTGTTAAGACAGATTATCTTCAACTTCCAATACTGCACTTCACATTTTCCATTTGTTCATTCAGGTTTCTAGCAAGTCCCCTGCACTCTTCATTTCTCCCTCTCTCTGTGGCTGTGACTTCCTGCAGGAAGCTAGCTTGTCCTGATAGCTCCTTTTGGGCAACCTACCTCTAGCTGCAGCTACTTTCTAAAGGTATGGTTACTGCTCCCTCCCCCACTTGCTTATTCCTAGAAGATTCAATTCTCCTGTCTTAGGATTTTGGACACGTTATTGCCTGCCTGCTTCCTTTCTATCCACCCCTGGGAGACAGTGAAGTGCTATTGTTTTTCAAAGAGGAGATTTGTTTTGAAGAAGAAGATGGTCTCAATAGTCATGGCTCTTGAGGCTGGAAGTCCAAGAACACAGGTTCAAGAACTAAGACAGGCTCAGAAAACATGAATGAAAAATAACCAGAAAAGCAAAAAACTGAACCAACAATTGACAGACCTGCATTCTTTCCATCACCTTTCTTTTTCTTTTAGGTGTTAAATGAGACACAATACCTCCATGTGTTAATTAGGTATGAGAAAAGAAAGTGCCTTTCTGAACTAGAAACCTCAGCCCACTTAAAGGACACAAACACGCTGGGGTGGAGACCACCCATGGATCCTGTCCTCACCTTTGCCTGTCAAGAGGCTCTTTTCATTCACCCTATTTGGTCTTCCCATGCTAAGTAGATCTCTACAGCTGCTACCTTGTATGACTCCTGATTACTTGGAAATTCATTTAGTCATTATTCTAAGGGTCATAGTAGACTTGGAAAATAGAACAGAGAGTAACCTCTTCCTAGGACAATCTCCCCCTTTCCCAATGTGGTAAGGTCTTCTTAGTGTGTCATCTCAGAGTAGAAGGTAGTAGGGCAAGACAGCACGTGAGCAAGAAGGGACCCATTTGCTTTTATAGCAGACACACTCACGATAGTGACCCAACTCCTGTAATAATAAATCTATTCATACGGGTTGAACTCTCCTAACTTAACGCCTCCCACTGGGCTCCACCACCAAACAGGGTTACATTAGGGATAGGTTTCTTTTTTCTTTTTTTCCAGGGC